GTTTAAATAAGTAGATATGATTCATAAGAGCCCTATTTAGCCTCAATTTGTTTGCAATTCATTTTCATTTATACTACTACAATATAGGAGTTCAAATGAGAAAATTGCAAATTTTGATTTATTTCAAATGTTACTATATTTTGCTATAGGTTTTGTTTTACTTCATTTGAATTGCAAACAAACAATACAAGGTGAAGCTTAAAACAAAAGTAAACAGGAATTTATGTATATGAGTCGGAATGGGCTACACATCTACATGTTATAACGCGGGTTACACTTTCATCCACATTGTAACACGTGAGTGGTTTAAGTGATATAAAAAAAGTAAAGGATGGGAGTGTTAACTCCCGTTACTAATTTTCTCTACATTTTTCAACCCAAAAAATAAAAGTAAAACTTTAAGCTTACCCACTAAGCTTTGTTGTTGATGAACTGCTCCAAAAGCGCAAAAGGGAAAAACCTTTGCATTTTCAGAAGGCAAAAATAAGGTAAGAGTTCGAACAGCCAAAAATCTATTATGTCAAAAAAATTTATACTCATTGCATTCCATGTCTTTAATCTAATGTTTTTCTTTTCTTTTGATATTTTACAGTACTCTATATCTACAGCGACTTCAACAGATTTAACAACGGATTGTCAACCCTTTCTTGTTTTCATGTTTTCAGGAGGGAATGGCAATTTCCCTCCTCCCTTGGAATGAAATCTCATTTTAGTTGATTCTAATTTTTATCTAAATAAAATAGATCTAGTTGTAAATTGGGTTGTATGGCCTGTAACTCGATACGATAATACGTGGGTCGTGTCGAGCCTTGAGTTTTAAACATTTTTTTCAATTTTTTTTTAAATGGACCTCTCATAGTTTGGCCTGGTTTGCGGCTCGGCCCGGCCCCCGGACGGGATTGGGCATGTGTTTTAGCCCGCGGGCTTGACCTCGGGCCTAAAAGCCCAAGGCCGACTATTTTACGGGCCGGGCTCGGGATTTGTTAAAAAAGCCCGGCCCGGCCCGACTTTTCCTAAACTACCTAACCCTAACCCTAAATATTTAAAATTTTTCTTTTCATTCTCCTTTCTCACTCTCACTCTCAGAAGCGGCGACTCTCATTTCTCCCTCTCAACTCTCAGAACCGGTGAACCCAACTGCACTTGCGAACTCAGTCACCGACGACCGACTCCACTAGAACTAGTCATCTCTCTCTTTGGCGGTGATCTCTCTCTCTCTCTCTCTCTAGCTGGCACCGTTTTCATCTTCTTTATTCTCATTCTTAGTTCTCTCTCCAACCGGTGCCACCAGAACCCAGGCGCACCATTTTCATTATGCGAACTCAGGCACCGGCGGCTAGCACCACCAGATCTAGATCGTCTCTCTCGCAGTGATCTCTCTCTCTAGTCGGCATTGTTTTCATCTTCTATTTTCTCACTTTCTGGGTTTCTATTTTCACTCTCAGACTCCTAGGAATCGACGAACTCAACAACACCATTCTCTCAATCCTCAAAGGGCACCGGCGCTCAGACTCCCAAGTCGGGCTTTGGGCTCGGGCCCGGGCTTCGGGCTTTTTATGAGGGCCGGGCTCGGGCCCAAGTTTTAGGCCTGTTGGTCGGGCTGGGCTCGGGCTCGGGTCTGAAAAGTTTATATTAATAAAGAGCAAAAGCTCGGCCCGAGCCCGACCTGGCCCATGAACAGGTCTAAGCTCGACCTACGACACGACATGGACCCGTACAAGCTTGGGTTGCGTGGGCCATGTTGGGCCAACCCCCAAATTATCCCAAGGGAGGGAGGCAAGACTTGGTATAGCCCGTGGGCTACACCTAACCCACACTTTGTGCAGGCCGCATACATGCCGCGTCATGCCGGCCTAGCACAACCCATTTGACAGGTCTAAACGAACCATAGGAATAAACCATTTCAAATCCAATTCCATCTACGAACCAAACGGACCCTAAACAATTTAGTAACAAGCATTAATACCGTATGAATTTATTACAGTACACACTAATTCATTTGTTTTTCTACAAATTAAAGCTATAAGTGGAGTAGTGAACTACAAAATTAAATCGAGTTGGTGTAATAGTCCATCACCTTTTGTTTGACAGATCCTCAATGCCAAAGCTCGGCAGGTAAGTTTAAAGTTTCTTTTTGGTTGAAAAAATGTTGAGAAAATAAGTAAGGGAATATAACTTCCGCCCGTTACTTTTTTGTACGTCATTTAAACCATCTACGTGTTACAATGTTGATGGAAGTGGAAATAGAAAAGAAGAAAATAATAGTTTATTATTTGAAATGTATAGTTTATATGAATGTCAAATGGTAAGGCATAGTAAATCTTGTACAGATGCAAGTTCCATTTCTGAAACAAGTAGTACTAGTAGTGAAAAAGACAAAATTCGGTCTCTAATAAATAAGAGTCAGAAATCTACTACCACTTCATCAACAAGTTCATTTACTGAACTTAATTTTTATTTACAAGCAAGTTTTTCTAGTTTAGTTGATTCCTGTGTGTCAAAGGAATGAGATGGTTTTGATATTTTAGCCTAGTGGAGAGGACATGAAAAAAACTATCCAGTCCTTACTGCCATGGCACATGATTTATTAATCCCTCCGGTGTCTACAATTTCATTGGAGTCTTGTTTCAGTGCAGATACTAGGGTGTCGGATGACAAGAGAATTTGCATAATGATGAAAACTAGGAGATGTGCATTTGTTTTAAAGATTGACTGGATGCTGAGAATAGATTACAAGACAAAGGAGGGCATGACATTACACATGATGTTTCACCTGAAGCAGATGATGAAAATCAATGAGATGATTAGATGAAGATGAAGGTGGAGGTGGAACTTGAAGAAATTGATGAAGTCAATATTTTTTATTTTTTGTATACTCAATATTTCAATTATTGCATTTTTTTCCAATTTTATTTAAATTAGTTGTTATTTTTTCAACAATGTAATTTTATTTTCAATTTATAATTGTATTAATTTTTTATGTTTTATTCAATTTTCTATATTTCATTCATCCATTGACCATTATATTGCTCAAATTCAAGAAATAAAATTCCTATTTTTTCTAATTTGTTGTCCATTTTGTATTTTATTAAGTATTTAAGTATTTTTTCATTTCTTTGTTAGATTTTTTTTTTATTTTCCAATTTGTTCCCAAAGCTCAAATAAATTAAAGGGAGTGAAGTATTTTAGTTTTAGTGTTTACTTAAAGAAATAAAAAAAATCAAAGGGTAAAAAAAATCAGTTTGGCCCAATTCGGCCCCAACCCATAGCTTAACCTGACATGGGCTATGGCACGACCTATAGCCCACCTGACCCGAACTTGTGGCACAACATGAGCTTGGGTTGCCGTTGTGGCCTCCCTGAACTTTTCTTTTCCTCCATGGTGCTACATAATAGGGGGACCATCCCAGAAACTAGGGTTGTTCATAAGAAGACCCAACCCAACCAAACCGACCAACCTGGACCGACCCAACCCGAGTCGGCCGGGTTTTCATCAGCACCGGTCGGTTTCGGGTTGTACAAATTCATAAATCGATGGTTCGGATCGGTTTCGGTTTTCTTGTGTGAAAATCGGAAACCGATCCGAACCGAATCGACTTAGTTCCTACTTAACTAAAAACTGAAATATCTGAAAATATATATTCCAATATCTATATCTAAAAAATATATATTATGAAATATGTCAGATATATATTTCTAGAAAATATATATTCCAATATATTTGTATGTATATTTTTGTTTATATATATATATATATATATATTTCTAAAATACATATTTCAATTTTAAATATATTTCCAGAAAACTAGGTGGCCATGGGGGGCATGGATGAACTTAGAGCCGAAACCAATCCAACCCGACTCAAACTGATCAGATCAATTTTACTTAACACTGGGTCGATTTCGATTTCCATCTCAGGTAACCCGACTAGGTTGGGTCGGTTGAAAAAACCTCAATAATCGACCCAACCCGACCCATAAACAGCCCTAATAGAAACCTATAACTCGCAACATTGGCGCAGGCAAGATTCGATCCCAAGTCTATTCTATACAAACTTTCCTTGGACTTTGACCTATACCAAAATCTCACTTCACATTTGGGTACTGAAAATAACCCCAAAAGTTCATTTACATCCTCATTCTATTATTGCATTTAGTTCTGCCAAGGAGTTGGTAATATTTAAATAATTTTACAAAAAAATGTAACACTTAATCATTAATAAAGTAAAATAAAAAATAGAACACTAACGGATAATATAAAAAATAATTATTTCATGAAATAATTAATAATAATTTATTATTTTTTTAAAAAAATATTAATATAATTAATCTAAGTTATTAAGTTATTTTTATAACAAATTACTAACATAAAAATTAATTATTTAAAACAACATTGTATTACTTCGTTATAATAATTAAACAGTTATCAATTTATTTTGTTTTACTCTGCCTTTACAAATCAGGTTCATCGCACCACGCATGACGTCTTCTTTGCGAGTCCAGATCTGCTCATCACATCATATTGCTGACCACGTTTGTTCAGCCGCACATCTGGAATATTGGCGATATAAAGTAGAAGAAGTATTCCTAACGTGCGGCTGGATGAACGTTGTGGTGAGCAGATTCGAACTCCTATGCTGTATTTTGCTTCGTTCCTTCTCATGCAATTCATTCCGGCGAGCTTTTTCTCGTTCACGATCAACACAGATCAAGGACTAACTAGTGATCGATCCCTGCATCCAAACATTCACTCTTTAGACACAAAAGCAGACCAGCAGTAACGAAGCAGAGCAGCTGTCTTTTATAGTTTTGATTTTTTCCATTTTTGAAATGAGCAATATTGCTAAATACGAATGTACAATATAAATAAATCTATCTATATAAAATTTCTTCACCGTCTGATATGCTTAAAATTGGACGCGGTATTAAGTGGGCCCTATTGGTTGGGTCTACATGTGGAAAGCCTTCCATCGTAATTATCATTCAATTATGATGCAGTTACACTTTATCGTTGTCTCTACTGGAATTTCCCGTTTCATCCACAGTCCACCGCACAGAGCTTGCGCAAAGTACTCTCTGGTCTCTGCAACCGATAACGAGATCAGTTCTAGCTCGCCACCTTTCAAGTTTCGACAGCCATATTAACGAGCACTCTCTAATTCTTCTGCTAGTTTTCTTTCTCACACAAACAAAACTTTGGATTTAAAGAGATCAGAAAATATTCTAAACTTTCTTCTGAACAAGCACTCTCTAATTCTTCTGCTACTTCTCTGGAAGAAGGGTTCATGAAGCCATGAAAGGCTTTAACATCCCGGAATTCCTGAGAGCTTCTTTTTTCACGAAGGTCTCAGCTTTCGCTCTCATTTCCTTTGCTCTGTTTTACCTCGGAAGGCACTACTCAGATGGGTACCAACAGCTCATCTACTTCAGCTCCCACCAGCAAAACCCTGTTGTTGCTCAAACCCCATCTGTGGCTCTTTCTCCCAACGCCAACAAAACGTTTGGTCTTGCTTCTATCACACCCAATCAAACTTTAGAGACGACGAATCCTCCTCTGCCACCACCACTGCTACCGACATTGACGTTGCCGCCGCCACCACCACCGGCTGCGGTGGATAAAACGGGGATTTTGGATGAGACTGGGACGATGTCGGAGGAATTTGAGGTAGGTGAATTTGATCCGGAGTTGATTCAGAGTTTGGGCAATTTGAGTCGACAGGATGGGAGGGGGGATGATGGAAATGGTGGCAGCAGCGGAGAAGTTAAGGTTAAGCTTAAGATTGAGAGATTTGAGCTGTGTCCGGAGAGTATGACGGAGTATATACCTTGTTTAGATAACGTAGAGGAGATTCAGAAGTTGAATTCGACAGAGAAAGGGGAGAAGTATGAACGGCATTGTCCTGGGGAGGGGAAGGGTTTGAATTGTTTGGTTCCTGCGCCTAAGGATTACAAGATTCCCATTCCGTGGCCGAAGAGCAGAGATGTGGTACAAATCATACATTTCCCTTTCAATTGGTAGATCACATTTCGAGATTGTTCTGGTGTTCAATTACTTCAATTGTAGTCAATAATATGATCTTGCAACTAAATTGCTTGTTATGCAAGCTCTAATGTTTTAGCTTTCTAACATTTTACTGTTCTCCATACTGAAGCGAAACGATAGATTTGCCGAAGCCAGTGAGGGAGTTCTCTTAGTTATGCTCTAGGTCTAGTTATTGGACTTACCCCTGTTTTCTACAAAAGTTTCAGTCCAGCATTTGTCTGTAATCTCAGAGCTGTGAATTTGCATTCACACTTTTCTTGTTGCATGTGAAACAACTGTTGCTGTATAACTTTGTTGGAAAAATAATTAGAATTTATAAGCATGCCAAAAGAATGTGAAAAAAGAAATAAATAGAAATTAATGTTTTATTTCAAAAGCCATATGATTGATTGCTTCGTTTCCGGTGTTTCTTTAATGCATGGAGTCTGAAGATGCAGTCCCCTCACCTTATGTTATAGTACTCTTGTATATTGGTAGCCCGTCTTACACTTGATAAAAAATGCACTTGCCAGAGAAGAAAATAAGGTAATGGAGAGAAAATTTTGGCCTGAAGGTGCAAAGTATGTTGGACAAGGTTGGACTTAAGTCCTGCAAATATCAAAGAAAAATAAATTGTGATATTCATTCAAGTACAAGTTGGTCTTTAACCATGAGTTTACAGATAAAGAAAGTCTTCTTGCAATGTGTGATCAATTTACAGTCAAGTGTTTGTTCTTCACAATTTATTTATTAAATTGTGATCAGCTTCTAGTTATAGATCTCTCTCATTTTTTTCTTGTAATTTGTGCCTTTTCTTTTCCAAAACAATATTAAGATTGAAGCATGAACCATCTATATTAAAGGATGTAAGATGAAATTTAATGGACAAAAAACGGTGAGTTTTCAATAAGGCTGCATTTGTTTCCGGTGTAAATGCACTTTTACACCGATGAAGTTGAGAAATGATGGTTCGGTGTGAGTGTAAAATATGGACCGGCCATTGTGCCCATTTACACTCGTCCTGTTTGGTTATATCTTGTTGCAGCGGGAGATTTATCAGAGAGGGAGGGAGAGAGAGAGAGAGAGAGAGGGGCGGAACCGGGGTGTAAAGATCTCCCTTCTCAGAAGCTCGGAAGAGAGAAAGGGGCAAAAAGACAGAGCCACCAATGGGAGAAAAACGCCCAGGAATGACGAGATGCTGCAGCCATGGAGGAGCAAAATGCCCAGAAGCAGAGAACGCCCATCTGAATTGGCCTCCAAGTTCCCCCAATCAAACCCCGTTGGAGGTGGTGGCGGTGAAGGAGAACGCCCAAGCAGAGAACACCCACCTGAATCGGCCTCCAAGTTCCCCCAATCAAACCCCGTTGGAGAATGCCCATCTGGATTTGCTCCGGTGCCGCCGATAGACACCACCTGCTGTTAGGAGAGAGAGAGAGAGAGAGAGAAGAAGAAGAAGAAGAAGGAGAAGAGAGATAGAGAGCGAGCAAGCGAGAGAGAAGGAGAAGAGAGAGAGAGAGAGCGATGTAATAAATACATCGACTTTACACCTCTACCAAAAGCAGCCTATAGGAAATTATATTACAGTTAGTATGACAAAAACATATACAAATATACATATACCTAAGGTAGACCAACCAGAAGCTTTGTTGTTTGTGATAACCAAATTTTAAAATAAACTAGGAAACACTATCTGCATTTTGGTTAACTAAAGTTTCAAGTGAATCTGTGTTTTATTTCTAATCAAAATTGGGCTTTTGCCATTTCTTTCTTTGTGTTAATATCCATTTAAGAATCATTGATAAGCATGAAAAACCCATCATATTGTTCTGCAAATAATATTAGTTCCTCTAGTAGGAACTTCTTGCTATATGTGGAAAGTAATCTTGTTTTACAGGTTTCTCAACCTTCCAAGTCAGGCAGTTTCTGTTTTTGTCTTTTTCTTCAGAAAATGCTGCATTTTATTTTAAAACTTCATTCATTGGTTTAGTTAGGATTCAGGAAGTCTAACTGTCTAACTTTCCACATTCCATTCCCTTTTTATCCTATCAACCATCTCATATCTTCCAAAACATTCAATTTGAACCATCTATCACCATGAGCTAATTTGTTAGTCAACATTTCCCAGGCCCCTGTCTTAAATTAGTTTTTTTTTTCATGTCTTTAACCAGTTGTTAAGTTAGTCAATCCATTTCCTGTGAATGACTGTGAAAAAGTTGTTTTCACTATTTCTTGCATCTTCATTTTTGACCATTTGGTACAAAGACACTTTCTTTATAAACTTGGGAATATAATTACAGGTTTGGTTCAGTAATGTACCACATACCCGTTTGGTCGATGATAAAGGAGGTCAAAATTGGATATTGAAAGAGAATGATAAGTTTAAATTTCCAGGAGGTGGAACACAGTTTATCCATGGGGCAGATCAGTATTTGGATCAGATTTCACAGGTGTGTCTCTTTCAAATTTCAGATTTATTAGGAGACAGATATGTACTCATTTATGACTGTCTTCCTGCGTGACATCATTTGTCATCTTCTCTATTCAGATGGTTCCTGATATTGCATTTGGTCGTCATACCCGAGTTGCCTTGGATATTGGTTGTGGAGTAGCTAGCTTTGGTGCTTTTCTTCTTGCACGTAATGTGACCACTCTGTCCATAGCACCAAAAGATGTTCATGAAAATCAGATTCAATTTGCTTTAGAGCGTGGTGTTCCTGCTATGGTGGCTGCTTTTGCAACCCATCGTTTGTTGTATCCCAGCCAGGCTTTTGACTTGATACACTGTTCAAGATGTAGAATTAATTGGACCCGAGATGGTACAGTTTGTTTATTTCACATTTGAAGTTCAAATCACTTTTGTTATTTTAAAGTCTTATAATTGACAAATTTACAGCACCATTTAGACACAGCCATAAGTATGAAAGTTGCATGAATACCTCCATAGACACATCTATATATGCATATACGTTGTATGTTTGTCTCTGTTGAATGCTTGATTGGCATATCTTTTCTTTTTGGTGTTGATCATGCTTCCTTTTTTCCTGTTTGTTGTGAAGATGGAATTTTACTTCTTGAGGTCAACAGGATGCTAAGAGCTGGAGGATACTTTGCTTGGGCAGCACAACCTGTTTATAAACATGAAGAGAACCTACAAGAACAATGGAAAGGTAGCTAGCCAAACATATGCTGTCAAGCTTTTGGGAACTTATCATTGACAATGCTGATTGTAAGGTTGCATTTTGAGGAAGCTTGCATTTTTCACTATGGTAGTTTAATACTTTAATGGAGCTGTGGAGTCCATGATTATCATTTTATTGTTTGTGTCCACGGTCCACCCCTTTCTCCTCATCCTCCCCCTCCATTTGTATAACTTCTCTATGTTGCCAATGGCAATAGTTGAAACTACATGTAAAAGGATCGCAACAGGAAGAATTTACTAAATGCATTCAGCTTTCCAATTCCATGATAATGACTTTCAGAGTAACCCTGTCTATGCTACAAGTAATCAATATTTTGGTTTATTTATGTACAGAGATGGAGGACCTTACTTTACGCCTTTGTTGGGAACTTGTGAAGAAGAAGGGATATATTGCCATATGGCGGAAGCCTTTAAACAATAGCTGCTATATCAGTCGTGATGTTGGAGCCCAACCACCACTATGTGATCCCAGCGACAACCCTGATAATGTTTGGTATCTCCTATAGCATAAATTTGTATGTTTTTGTGAATGCATAGGAGAAGAATATTTGTAACACTAGAATGAAAATACTAAATTAGGAATCAACTCCTGATGTTTAAGGTTTGTTACAGACTGTATAATTAAAATAGGAAGTAAATACTAGGGAGATATGATGTTACAGACTGTATAACTAAAATAGGAAGTAAATACTAGGGAGATATGATGTTACAGACTGTATAACTAAAATAGGAAGTAAATACTAGGGAGATATGATTTACCTTGATTGTAGGAATTTGATTAGTCTTCTTTCCTAATATATTCTTTCCTAACATAGAATTTGTAACTTGTATATATACATACGAGATTGATGAATAATATAAYAAATTCTTCTTCTTCCTCTGTTTACTCTTATTCTACAAGGTTCTACCCCATTGATCCATTCTTTAGTGCAGAACACATAAGAGAGAATTGCTGGACACTTTAATGCATAATCAAGTTATGAATTATTTTGATTTTTATTTATTTTTATTAAATATTTTATGATATATGTATGGGCCATTGCTTGGTGTAATGGTAAAATCTCAGGCTAGCAAGAATGATAATACTGGTTCAACTCTGAGAGCAGCCATTTTGTGCAAAAAATGCCAAGGTTAGGTCCACTCCTTCAACGTTGGGCAAGGATCTGTTATTTTCTGATATATGTAAATTTAATTAACAAATAATATTCTCGATAAAGTGATTTGGAGAGAGTTAATTGAATCCTTCATCTGAAAGATTGGGACCATTAGTCTGGTTTGCCTTCCAAAGTTTGGCTCCATGCAACATCGTCTCCTCCCATTTACTTCTGCCACTAGACCATTTGTATACTGAAATCTTGTTTTCAAGAATATCAATGGCACTATATACTTCCTTCTCCAGAGGCTTAGGAAATAGAAAGCCTTCCTGAGATACACCACTTTTCACTAAGATCATATACTGTGCTCTAGCTATTGGAGAAAGATCAAGGACAAGGACAATACTGACACTGGGATCAAATTCTCCTGAACCATGCCATCCCTTATGGATCATTTTCCTTATCTCTATCTAACATTTGCAATAGTCAATTAACCCTGTAGGTTTGACACCTGTGGGTATTCTTGTTTCCTTATATGTGGATCCACCCCTTCAAACTTGGGTGTATTTGTAATTTTGTTTAAAATATACTTTTCCCTCTCTCATCCCATGAGATAGCTTAATCTTTTTGCAATAGGGCCGAACTCTTTATCTGTTTTGTGGAATCATTTGCATGGACTGATGTCAGAGAAAATCCATAAAGTATTGTGAACTTCTACTTGTCCCTCCTCTTGTGCCACCAAAATGACTTCCAGCACCTCTTATGGGATAGAAGAGCATGGTAGTCTGTAATCAATTTGGAAAAGCATGAATCTCCGTAGAAGGTTCCTTGTAAACAGAAGAGACTCACCTTTCAATAATAGAAGTAGATGTAGAAAAAAATAAAAAAATGGTGCATAGTGGATTTTGTATTTTTCAAGTTTCTGTGTAGGGTTTTCCGTATTAACAAAGAAGGTTTTGTTTACTCAGGAAGTTTGGTTCTGCAATTAGATTAGAGAAGAGATTTTGGCATTGCCACAGGGTCTTAGATTGATGCTTTAACTGGGATTTTAGAGGTTGGATGACAAAGTGATTCTAAAGTTGTTATCAGTTGACTGCACAAAGGTTCTTATGACTCCTGGATCTTAAATTCTCACATCAGACAAGCCAAAATCCTCAGCTTCCAGAATGAACATCTTGTTCAGATGAAATCTAAGGCCAGCCAACTCTTTGGCTGATAATATTGCCAGGGGCAGGGTGGAGAAGTGTGACTTCTCTCCCATGGTCGGTTGTTGATTTGTACTGATTGTATCTTTCGGCTTGTTTTTGTTTGAGGGTTTGTTTTCTTGTCTTTTCCTCACCCTTTTTAGGAGAGTTGGATTTTTCATTTGTTGATTAGGAGATTTGGATCCATCTAGTTATGCATTATCTCAATGCGCTACCTTGATTTCAGTTTCTTGTTCCTCAATTGTAACTCTATCTGCTTACATGATTATTGTTACCATTTACATTGTAACTCTCTCTCTCTGTCTAGAAAAAAGTCTCTATTTCTCTCTCTTGTGTGTGCACATGAAAGAAAATGGTTTAACAAAGCTGCCACTTTTGTCATGCCTCTTGCAGGTATGTTGGTCTTAAAGCATGTATAACCCAACTACCTGAGAATGGATATGGAGCTAATGTTACTTCATGGCCTGCTCGCCTGCATTATCCACCAGATAGGCTCCAGAGCATAGAACTTGATGCTTATATATCCAGAAAGGAGTTATTTAGGGCTGAATCAAGATATTGGTATGATATAATAGAGAGCTATGTTCGTGCTTACCATTGGAAGACATTAAAGCTACGGAATGTGATGGACATGCGAGCTGGGTTTGGAGGGTATGGACTTAGTATATTAATTTTCTTTCTATATCACTTGTGAAGTATTTCACATTTTTTGGTACTATTTTTTCTTTTGAGAAAAGGTGAAGCATTATATTTGGTTCTTATTTATTCTATCAAGATAGGTAAAGTTTTTTGTTACTTATTTCTTCTATCAAGAAAGATGAATATCAATTGCTCTTATTTTTTAATGTTTGGTTGAATGTGGAATTCATTTCAGGTTTGCGGCAGCATTACATGATCTAGAGATTGATTGTTGGGTGATGAATGTTGTTCCTGCTAGTGGGCCTAATACCTTGTCTGTTATTTATGACCGTGGATTCATAGGAGTCATGCATGATTGGTATGCACATTCTACTTATTGGCTTTAAAATATTCTTCCTTTCAGTTCTAGTGTGCTGCTCTATGACTACGTGGTGCTTTCTGGATCAAAATGCATATTGCTATCTAATTTTGTTGATGAATGGCTCATAATTGATAATAGTTATGTTCTCATTAGAAACTAGGATTGTTGTGGTTGGTATATATTATCCTGTGATTTTCCCCCCTAAGGAATTATTTTGTAAGAAAAATATAAGGGGCCATTACCTAATGTATAAAGGAGAAAAATGAAGAAAATGGTGAAAGAACACCAATTATCACAAAGAAAAAAATATTGTGACAGTGTTAGCAAATTTGTCTAATCATATTATAATTTGAGGCCATAAGTCAACATTTCCTTCACAGTGAACAGGACAATGAAACTATCCCTTCATTATATCTTTTCTGCGTGCAAGAGATAAATTCCTACTTATATGTAGCTCCATAGAGTGAAGAAGAGAGGGCATACTGAAAAAAATTCTCTTCCTGCAAGGCTGCAACCTTCCATATGTTGGGTAACACATGGCAGGTGCACTATTTTCCGGCTACTATATTGCAAAGTCCTTTTCCCTAACACTGTAAATCAAATAAGAACAGTGCAGTTCCTTTTTCTAATAAACTTCAGCATAGTGATCATGAAACTATTAAACGATACATATGGAAAAGCTACCAGGAATTTCTGGGTCTATGATAGCTTCTAAGATGCAGGTGCACAAGAGCCATTTTATTTCCAGGGAATTATCTATGATTGAGGAGCTAGCAGTCCCCCCAGCCCCACCTCCATGAAACTATCCTAGATCCCTTAGTTATGGAGAAATCAACTGGACAGAAAATCTACATCTAGGTGGGATACTATGAAAAGTCCCAGTTGTCTAGGATCTAATTCAGAAACTATGAAGATTCTAGTTCTGTAACAAGTATCCGGGATGCTTAAAATATGGAGACCTCTGAGAGTCTGAGGGAGGTTTTTGGGATTGTCATTTCAAATTGACTCTCAAATTCTTTACATTACACTTGTCCAAATGATACACACAAACACTCATGGGCTTTATAACACATATTGAAGTTCTCTTGGGACAAATTTTCTTTCAGCAACTTATTCTATGGTTTTGTAGTTTTTTAGCCTTATGATATCAGCAGATTCTCTGGTATCAGGTTAACAAAATGACAAAAAAAAAGTAGAAAGCTGATGGTCAGAATTCAGAAAGCCTAATATAAGAATAAATGAGAAAACATGTTTTAGTTTTTCATTTCCTAATACTCCATAGTATGTTGTTGACCAAATTTATTCAATGATAAGATTGCTGTTCTATAGATATAGTGGTGCATTCAGAGACAATTTGTTGGTTTTGGCGCCTATTCAAGGCATGCATTTAGATTGTCTAAAGATTTGGGTTTTCAGACTTTTTTTTTATCAATAACAATTTCATTAATTCACCAAAGAGGTTACATAAGGAAGACAAACACACTTATCTTCCAAGTACAATCAAGAAAACAAAAGAATAGGTAGAGACAAAAAATTACAACTTAGCCCAAAACATTGAATCCCTTTCTGCCCCTTGTTTAGCTAAACCATCAGCTAGAGAATTGGCTGATCTTTTGACCCAGCACATTTTAA